TTATCATAAATCTCAAGATTCATTATGAAGGAGGCTCCAAAGGGATTAGCTCTAAATGCAACAAGTTTATCGAGATATGTGTCATAATTCTTAAGCACTTCCAAAGGTAGAGATAAATTTATGGCACTATTATAATATTCATTTGATTTTTATCATAGTTGTACAAAACATTCAAATTTACTCTATGTATAATAATTGGTTTCATAAAATGATTTAAAATGTTATGTTGTTGCTGAAAAATTTAAGGATGTAATAAGTATCACATTATTTTAGAGTATTTCCTAAAGTCGCAAGATATTTAGACTTTTATTTTTCTTAGATGAAATTAAAGGGATATAAAGGTTGATTAAACAAAACAAGCCATTATTATTCAAAATATTAGCTATTTCAGGACATTATTCAAGTTTCATGTACTATGTAAGTGACAACTTTTTGTGGATAATTGCAATTTTGGCATAAAGGTATTCCCTATTGAAGTTAGAAAATTAGCAAAGTCTTATAAAAAGAGATTGAAGCAAGATGGAAACAAAGGAAAAATTCTTTTTCTCAAATGAGAATTATGATCAACTTGTTGAGATTAACAATATTAATAATATTTAGAGAAAAGTATAATTTAATTAAATTACTAATAGCAAAGAGAACAGGATTTTGTTAGAGATGACAAAAATAATGACTTAAGATACTTCAAAAAAGTTATAAAATTCTCTGATTAAATTGAGAAGAAAGAGAAGATTTGAAATTCTGGAGTTAATTTTATCAATCCTAAGATTCTTCATGTTGACTAAATCTCTAAGGATGACAGGATATTAATATCTGGATCCTGTGTTTGTGGCCTGTATCATTATTAGCAATATTAAAATAGCATGTGGATTAGTATCTTCAGGATTGGCTCTATTTAAAGCTATTTATGAGAAAAGGATTTTTATTTAACTTGATAATTCTTCAAAGATAGAGAGTTAAATAAATTCGAAGTTAACGAAAGGATTTGCATCTTCTGGCAAAATGGATGATTCGATTATGTGAATTATATTATATCATGGTTTTGGTTGATGGAAATTAGTTTTACATCCTTCACTACATCTAATACACTTATTACAGCAAGTATAGTAATCGTCTGCTCCACATTTTTTGCAAGAATAAAATTTTAATTTGCCGCTGTGAAACAAACAGGAATCCTAAATATTAGAATAAATTAATACTATGTAATTTGTTCTAGGGTTGTATAATAGATGACATTATTAACATTCCTTTTTTGAGCATTTTTGCAATTGCAATTCAGCATATTTGGCTAATGATTCTAAAATTTATGAGATTAATTAATTTTTTTGATTCCCTAACTCTTCCTTCTATTTATGCAAATCTTTCAATAATGAAGGATCATTTTATTCTATTCTTGGAGATACATCTTCATCAAATTGCATTAATGAATTTTGTGTGTCCATTCCTTGATTATGGATTATATTTGTATGAGATGGCTGTTTTTAATCTTGATGTAGAAACTCATACAAATAGTTGACAGCATTTGGAACCAATTATTTTTGTTATTAAAATATCGAATTAGTGAATATCTACTCTCTTTCCTAATCTATTTACAATTATTGTTGCTTTAGTTATTCCATTCTTGTTATTTATGTTTCGTATTGATGTTTTGTTTATTATAACTTTTATTCTTCTTCTTTTTCATTTTGAACATATTCCTCAAGTTTCTTTTGTAAAACATCATTCTCTTTAACAAGTGATTCTGTAATATATATATAAAATACGAATGGTTGAATTATAGCTTTGAACTATTAGTTGAGCATCTTATTCACTCATCATTGGATTATCAGATAAGACACTGCTAGTAAATGAGTTTGTCTCCTCGTGCATTTAAAAATAATTTAATTATTAATAATTTATACACGTATAAATATGTTTAAGACTTTGGCTTTGCTATTAATTGTTAAACTCTATGCCTCTGATCTAAATACTTAAAATGCTGAAATTGATGCATAATAATAATAGCAACAATAAGCTGAAATAGAAACTGAAGGTCAGAAGTAATATCAATCATAATTATCATAGAGTAATCGCCAAACTTACTGCCTGTTGGGTTTTATCAGTTTAGGAGTTATCAGAAGAATAGAAATAAGTGAATGAAATAATTAAGAGTCAATCTAATTAGAATAGGGAATCCATTTTTTACAAGATCTAGACAACTATGTTGGAAGAATGTTATTCAAGAGCTCCTGATGAAGAGTTAACTAATGTGATGAGATCTATTTAGGACGATAATAAGAATTACAAATCTTTCAAACAATAAATACCAGATTTCAGTTTTGAGTAATTTACTAATGCCTCATTTGATTGGACTTTCACAAAAAATGACGAAACTTTAATGAAATATATTAGAGTAATTTTTTTAGTTAAACCAATATTAGAGATTTGAAGAATGGGTGACTACTAAAAACACTGTTAGTAGCCAAGTGTAATAACCAAATTAGAAGCAGAGTGTTTTTGCTGAGTTAAAGAAGAAGATATCTGAGATGAGTAAGAAGAGCTAATCCAAAGATTCTGAATCTAATAATAAGGAGTAATTGGATAAATATTAGTTTTACTTATCCAAATAATAGGGAATGAAAGATCCTATCAATTATTTATTTGCTGGAGTAGCAATTTTTAGTTTCTGTTTTGTGTTTTATCTTGGTATTGATCTTTTAAATATTTAAGTTTATTCCAAAGTTAAGCAAGCTAACTCAGATCCAAGACTAGATAAAAAGAATAAGAAACAAAAATCAAAAAAAGAGTGATTAGATATTAATATTTTATTTAAATGCAATAATATTCACCAAGAGCAATTATTTGGATGACATATCTCAATTATTTACCCCAAGATCAAACTCAATAATTGTCATTCCTTAAAAAATAATAACAGCTCTACTATTCTTATTTGGATGAGTTCATTCAGAATGAACTCTTAGAGATTTTCAATATTTTGAATAATATAGACTCCGATCAGAATTCTCTCTGTTTTAGTTCATTTCAGACCATTAAAGCCCAAGTCGTCAATTCATGTATGGATTATAATGAATATATCCAAAACGAACAGTTATTTGAAATAATTGAAAAAGATGTTCCGTATCTTTATAAACTATATTTAATAGTCGTACTTCCTCGAAATAATCAATTATGAAGGAACAAACCAACACCAGATTCTAATAGTACTTTTTTACTGACTCTTATAAACGAAGAAAATAACAAAATGATGATGTTGCAACTCATTAAGATATTCTCATAAGAATTTTATATATTTATGGCAAACTTAACCCAGCCATTAAATATATGTAGGGAATGAGTGATTTACTTGCCCCATTATATTTGATCATTAAAAATGAAGCAGACACATTCTTTTGTTTTACTAAAATCATGGCTCAACTTAAAGATGCATACATTTCCACTCTTGATTTTACTAGCACTGGAATAAGGGGACTACTCTTAAAATTTGAAACTCAATTCAAATAAAGAGAGCCAACTTTATACAAGTATTTGCAAAATCTTGGAATTCATCCTTATATGTATGGTTATAGGTGGATTATCACTTGTATGTCCCGCGAGTTCTCTTTAGATTAAATCTATTAAATATGGGATCTAATGTTGCATAATCGTAATATGCACGATTTCATTATTAAATTTGCCATTGCCATTCTTAAATATTTGAAGCCCTAGTTAATTGAAGCTGACTTTAAATTGGCTTTTGATATTCTGACATATAGTGAAAAAGATGTTAATCAAATTCTCAATTTTATGTGATTTTATTAATTTATACGTGTTTATAATATCTATCAACTATTGATTCTTATTATTAAAAATTATCTCATGATTTGGAACCTTCAGATCAGCGACCCTAATATCAAATATTTGCTACAAAAAGAAAGGGACTCTTTACTAAAACATCAACAATAAACTGAAATCTTCCAATAATCCATCAATAATATTATGGATTAACAAGCCAAGGATCTCATTCTCCAAAATTTACAACTCATACAAGATTCAAATTTATTTAGTATTTTTCGCTCACAAATTGAAGTTTCTGCTACATTATAGTAACAATTCAAGGAAACTAAACGAATTATTGAATAATCAGACATTCTACAAATTATACATTAAATTGATTAAATTCAAAACTCTATTGCAACTAACATTGAAATAATCAATAAAGATGAAAACATTGTTCAATATATTGCTCAAAATAAAAAAATAATCATCCAAATGATTACTAATAAATATGAATAAACTATTATTAATACTTTAAATTCATTAGGATTCCCTGATCCTAGCAATGAACCAGAAATAATATAATTCAAATAATTATAGGAATTGACAATATATTCCAAATTAATTAAACACGTCTCATAGTTTGAACCAAGATTTTTGTCTTCAATCTTCGTTAAGCTAAATTAAAACTTTGATTATCATTTCATTGATTCAATCCAAGCCACCTCAAATATTAATAATAGCTCATGGTTTTTTAATTATTTGTATGAAAATTTCGAAAAATCCATCAAACAACTCTTTAAACTTGACCCTAATTATGAAGAATAAATCTAAAATTATTAAAACTTTGAATTAGAAGAAATCATTCAAACATTTGCTTCACTTATGATTTAGCATTATATCATATACAATATTACAAAGGTATAAATTTCAACTATTTAGAGAGTAAAAAGAGACAAAGATGAGTTTATTTTCTAGCCAAATTTAGCTTTATTGTTCTTTGAAGAACTCGATAATTTCTGTTAATCGATTGAATAGTTTTGGTATATTTGTTTTGATTAGAAATGTAATTAAATATTCGAAGTAATCCTTCTTATTCTGAATGAGAGTAATATCTTTGGTAAGATATTAGAGTGGGAAATACAGTTATTTAATTAAAGCATCTTTAATGAATATGAAAATAAAATCTAATAAAAAAATATCCATCTTTTTTTAAATTTTGTTGAAGAATTTTAAATTGTTTGGAATAGTTAATATCAAAAATATTCTTTGATTGTTAATCAGAATCTGATTGATCAGGTTTAATAAATATATTCACTTATTTTTAAGCAATTTTTAGAATTATGTGAATAATATTACTTGATTATTAAACAAATAGAAAGCAAAGATTATGTATGTAAACAATGATAAATTATAGGTCCAGTTTTTATAAACTTATTACCTTGGATTAAAAGCATTAAAGCAGCAATTTAAGAAATACAAAACATCTATTAAATAACTCAAATAAAATACATTAATCAAGTTTTTAGAACCTATATCAAATTAATGCTCTGAGGAAATTTATTAAAAATTATTTAAGGAATATTTATATGATGACAAATTAACAGCCGAATTCTTTAAATCAATTTCCAAAGTCAATTTTTATCAAAACCATCAAATTATTTTTCTTTAAAGTTAGCATGAATTTGCTAAAAAAATCAACAACTTTTACTACAAAGCCAATTCAATTATTAATTAAATAATTAATACTAATTTAATTGAAAGATAATACATTGCTGATTTAGCATCAAAGGTAATCTCAATAATAATTTCATAACTCACCACAAAAACACATAAATTTATAGTCAAATAGGAATATTCTTAAGATGGTATTCTTATCATGTTTTTGGTAATTTTGAGAACCACCTTTTTGGTTTTATATTCATCCATTAATCATTAAAAAAATACAAAGGCATAAAAAAAAATCAACGAAAAGTAATGAATTTTTATTATTCTTAGGTTCGAACAAATATAAACAATTATAAACAACAGATATATTTTAAATGAATAATCATGGCAAAAAGTTATAAAATCATATCCGTTATTAACTCAAAAGGATGTAGAAATTTTGAAGAATTTAAAAATTAATTAAACCACCTGAAATATATATATTTAATATAACAACAATTTAAAAAATAACTTATCAAATAAGTCATAATTACGTTCTCAAATTTTATGTAAATAATTATTTAAACATCATTCAATTTAAACTTCACATTCAGATTAATCAATTTGTAGATAAAAAATCCTTTAAATATATCTTGCCAATTGAGAACAATGATTTTATATCTTCGGTAAATAATATTCATTGATAAACAATGACTGACCCTAAGCAAGTTTTTGGAAAAAGAAGTTCATCTCGTTTTGAATTATACAATATTACTATCCTTTTGAGGAAAACTCCGATGTCTTGTCCATTTCTTTAAATTCTATTTGAATTGTTAAACCGATGACGATGAACTTTTGAGAACTAAATATAAAATTTGATTAAAATTGATTCAATCAAACAACTAAGTCCTATTTTTACGATTTATTAAATTTGCAAATTAAATAATTAGTTTCAGATATAATTCTATAATTATTTTATTAATTTATAAAATTATATAATTATTAATAACTTAAACAGAACAAAATGAAAAAGATCATTAGTATATTTAAAGCAGCTAAATAAAAGGTTTATATTAAAAAAATAATTAATTGATTTGAATTAATATGAAATTATTGTATAGTTATTTCAACTAATCATTTCTAAACTCTCTTAAAATATTTTTAAAAATTGTACCAAATGTAATGAAAAGATACAATTCAATCTTACTAAGGTCATTAACATTCAACATCGCGATAGTAGGGAAGCTATGAGAACTCCTTGAGTACTGAATGTTTTATTAGGGAAGGGTATCAGGAATCCAATTATTTTTATTCAAAAATTTTATTTAATTTTTTCTTACATTATTCAAACTTTCGATCAGAATTTTGTATTGATTGAAAAATACATTTTCCATTCAACCTAATATACCAAGGATTAAATTCGATGATAACCTTTTAACCTAAATATTTTTAAAACAAGTATTTTTCAATTTATATTTGTATTTTTTATTATCAAAATTTATTCGTTAACATTTAGTTCAAAAAAACGGAAAGATCAGATCGACAATATAATTTTAATATAAATTTAATTAAATCATTTCGGTTAGAAAATTGCAAGATATATTGTCATACAAACAGGTAGGGTTATGATGCATAATATATATTGATAAAACAGTATTAATGAAACAACATCTTCTAATTATTATTGATATTGCTTTGCCATAACTAGGATAGTGATCGCTGATGGAGTACAAAAAGTGATGAACAAAATGAATAATTCACACAAATCTGTAATTATACCAAATTAATCTAAACATAAAACTGTTGTTAATCCAATAATAGGTGATAAAATTAGCCTGTTAGCCACAATTTATAGGATTGTAATTAAATTCTCTTTTTTTTATGTGTTTTTAAAATATATTAAATAGAGATTACTTCCTAAAATCATTAAGACAGAAGGGGGACATGCTCTTGAAATTGTTTATAATGGTAAGAAAAGAGCTCTATGTATAAATGTATCATTAATCAAATGCTTTTAAATTGGTAAACATAATAAGGAAACAATAACTGAAATAAGAGGAGGATTCCAAAAAGAGGATTCTTACTTTTTATTTTGATTAGTTTGTAATGATTATTGGGGCTGAGCTATCTTTAGATTTAAGAGCTCTACCTCATTTTATTGATCGGCAACTCAATTTTATTGTATAATTCTCTTTCCTATAGACCATCGGAAGGCATTAACTATGACAGTTTAAATAATTATTATTGTAACAAGTTTAGCTTCAGTTTCTTTTTCAGATTAACCTGTTATCTTGGAAAAGTACATGGTTAAACCATAAGCTATCTGTAATTAAATATTTATTGTATGAGGATTAGCTGATGATAAGACAATGATGGAGTTTAGATTATTTTTTTTAATCCAATATTTGTTGCTAATCACTCCGATCAAATATCCACAAAATATACAAAAAAATGTGGTCAATATTGTTGGAATGAGTCCCAATAACGAATCAAAAGTTACTGATTTAAGGAAATTTGTAAAAATCATAGCTGGAAGAAACATTCTTTCAACTACTTTAGACAATGTCATCGTGAACTCGTTATTAAATATCTTTTGATGAGTTAAAAGTGCTCCACTGCTGGCTACAGTTAAAGCACCAAATGTCGCAGAAACAACTGCTTCTATTATTGTC